AGAATTGTTTTGGAGGCAGGAACGTTTGGATACGCCATGCACTCGTCTTCCTATCAGAATTCAAGACCGACAGAATCTTTTTGTTTTTGTTTTGAAAATAGTCTGGGATGCGCTATACGTTTGTATTTCAATTCAATGTCGTCGGACATGCCCGTGATCGTGGTTCCTAGTGTAGTTTTAGGTTACTTCACGCGTAACTCCCTCCGCTCACTCGACAGAATTACTTAGGAGGTCTTAGAAATCGGAAGTTTTAATCGCGAGAATCCTACAAAAAGTCTATAAGTCCGTATTTTCATTGAAGGGAAGCCAACGCATATCTATCTATGTCGGCGTTACGTTACATCTTCTCCAGAGTGTCAACTACGTAGTAACGTAGTAGAGTTAATCCAATCGCGTCCAGGGATCTGGACGCGTTCCGAAGTGCATTAGTGACGTGACTAGGGCTGATGTGCCGTGATTCCTCCGAACGGACAGTGATGGCACTGGCCGTCCGTCGCCAGACCTTCGGCAAGCCGTCCGATAAGCGCGGCCGCCTGGCTGGTGGCAATTTCCAATTTGCCGATTCATTTATCCCTCTCCAGCCGACGCACGAAGGCCTCTCAATGGAGTTCTAGTGTATAAAAATGGCTGCTGGATGACGAAAAGCAGCTGGGCGAAGTGGAAAGCCGTAAACTAGATGATTCCAGTCACTACGGGGATAAAAGTGGGGCAAAAGGGTGTTGTGCGAACAGAAAATGAACTAGGAAAGCGGCCATAGACGGACTGATTAAGGACAAAGAAATAAAGTTACAAAATGTTCTGAATCTGAACTCTGTAGGGAAGCTCCATCAGGTTTAACGTTGCTTTCGTTAGTACTAATCTGCTATGTGTCCAGAGCCTCTGCAGATGAAGTGGTTGTTGGAATTCTGGCTATAGAATATCGCTGTAGAAAAGTTTGGTGGAGCATAGAAAGTGGAACAATGCCAGCTAAGATTCTGGTATTTGAGAACCCACTGCCGAAAATTGGGGAATAGCAAGAGGGTAGGGGTTGTCATGAAAAGTGGGATCACCTTGTAACCACTATTTGATGAAGTTTGTGCATATCATCATCATTGATTTGGTCTACTACTAGACCTGACCCTAACCTGACTCCCAAGACTTAAATGAAGGCTTGGGTTAAGGTAAAAAAGATTTTTGATTGTGTTGATTGGCCCGATTAACCGTGACCGGTAGAAGGCTTTGTGGTTGCTCTGAAATCGATCCAGTGTTTGGATTTTGACTCAAGTGCTTGCAAGCAGCGCTGTTTACCTCTACTCCAATTCAGCTGTGTACGATACCTTCTGAACAAAGGACCCTACAATACTCACGAATTTCCAATTTTCCCGATCTTACATCTTTTCCCACACTCCTTCCTTATGCTAGGCACCAAATCAACTTGTTCTCTTCGTTTCGAATTGCTACCCCTCGCAGAGGCGTCATTATTTCCAGCACGGAAGATGATGGAAAGTCATCTGAGAACATGCTCATGAGATCTACCAGGGTCATTGTAATCTGGGGAAGTCATCAGAAGAGTAGCCGACCATTGAAATACAGCAGTCGAGGTTGACGTAGTCTACCTAATGACTGCTACCATAGTTAATTGTTTTTAATTAGTCCTTAATGGGGGCCCTATCGACTTGCCAATTGGGCAACCTACGCGTACCCACGAAGGGATTTCAGACCTAGTAGTTGACTTTAATACAGAATGTACCAGAGCAGAAGAAATGGTTCCAGTTGGTTCATTTCGGCACAATAAGGTCCTCAATTTGGTCCCAGATCCACCACATGCATCCTTTCCCAATGTTCCTCTCATAAAACCATTCCTTTTCCTTTTTTGTTTTTAGCAAAGCCTGAAATTCCACTCTATGTTTGCTCTATCGACTTCAAACCGATCTTTCTTAACGCAATCTAAAGGGGGTATTCAAAACTACTCTACCCTCATCTAGGAAATGTTGTCTGAGAGGTAAATGCTTCCATCAGAATAGGGAACAACTTGATCATAAGGGCTGTGTGAAGTGGTTACCAGTAGGGGACCCGCACCCTGTTTATTTGTCTAGCTTGCTGAAAACTGTCCTTCCTTTCCTTCTTTTCTTCCTGAAAAAAAAAAGGTTTTTGATGTTGAGATGAGTGGTGCTGCTCGTCCATGGCTTTCACACGTCTCGGGTCTCGGGTTTCAGGGAAGCTCTCAAGCACGTTTGATTGTGAAGTGTACGCGCACTTAATACTATTTGGTTTGCGATTTTTTGGTTCTGCCCGGCATGAGAAGCGGACGTGAGGCGACTCGATTGAATAGGGAAAGCTTCGGAATCGAAGCGGGAGCTGGCGCAGAAAGAAGCTGGATGCAAGAGCTTAGTGGCGTCATTTTTCCTGATTTTAAGGTTCTCAAGAGAAGGGTGTGGGATGGGGAAACGGTTGGCAGGCAGTGGCAAGTGAGGCATCTATCTCATAAGTTCGAATGGAAGCCTCCTCAGTTACACCCAGAATGGTTTATCGGGTCGAAAGGCGAAGTTGGGAAGATTGAAGTTGTGATTTTTACATCAACTGGCCCCCTATAGCCTCCGTATGGGCGAAATACGCATTCAAATGCTATCACAAGTCCAGACTTGATGGGAATGCATGGCTCACTTAAAAAATGGTTCCTTTTTTCCCACACTATGAGTTCAGAAGTTGTTACTTCGCCTGACACCGTTTTAAAAAGAATTTTGAACATATAAGGATAGGTATTAAATTACTTAAATTTTTCGTAAAATA